GATCAAATTGAAACAAATTGAAGTTAATGGATTAAATTGGAACTAAAAATGAGCTGCAATAGAAAAATAAAGAGTTAGAGGGGTTAAATTGCAAAAAATGTGAATTATACATAAGGACTTAATTGAACAAATTGAAGATTCAAAGGCCAAATTGAACACAGTAACCAAAATGAATTACACTTCAAAATATGAGAGACTACGGAAATAATTTAACTATTGACTAATTACACATAGATCCCCCCGGCTATAAATGGCCTAAAACCCAAAAAAATCATTTTTTTCACCTAAATAAAAAAACCCTTCTCTCTTTCAAAAACACTCTCAACCAAACCCCCCTCCTGTCGTCTTCTCCAATGGAACCCCACTGTGCTCTCCCTAACCCATAAACTCAAAACCGAAACCCAATCGCCCTAAAAATCACTCAAACATCGTAGATCTACCCTTAAAATTTTGACCTTTACCTCTTTCGACGATGGTTTTCAAATACTCGACGGCCGTTCCTCCCTCCAAGCCACGACCAACGCTTATCCTTCCCTATTTTGCAAGTGGTTGTGTTTGTTATTGTTGATTTTATTATTTTTTTCGTGTTATTGCTTGGTTTTGCTTCGGTGTTTGTCTTTGGTTTGATGTTGTTGTGTTCTTCGTATTTTTTTTCTCCTGGTGTTGCTGGCTATGGTTTTGTATTGATGTTGTGTTTGGTTGCTCACCGTTGTGTTCGATGATGTCCTCATGTTATGGTTTTGGTTTGATGTTGTGTATTTTGTTTTTATAATAATAATAATATATTTTCAAAAATATTTCCAAAACTATATAATATATATTTTCAAAAATATTTTAAAATTATATATTATATATATTTTTCAAAAATCATTTTCAAAACTATATAATATATATATTTTTTCAAAATGTTTTCAAAACAATATAATATATATTTCAAAATGTTTTGAAAATCATATAATATATATTTTCAAAAATGTTTTCAAAATTATATATATATTATATATATATATATTCAAAATGTTTTCAAAACTATATTATATATTTTAGCAAAAAAACTATATTATATATATATATATATTTTCAAAAATCATTTTCAAAGCTATATAATATATATATTTTTAAGACCGATTTTAAAACAGTATATTATATGTTTTCAAAAACCATTTTCTAAAAATTATATATTATATTTTTCAAAAATATTTGCAAAAGTTATACTATATTATATATATATATATATATAATAAAAAAATAAAAATTCGGACGAAAATGAGTGTCTACACACTTTTTCAGGTATGTGAAGTTGAGATTTTTTTTCTTCATGGTTTTACTCTCTTTTTTACCAGTTTTATTTACTTTTAATTTGTTGAAATCTCTGTGATGAGGAGAAAGAGGAAGAGGCGGGGAAGAAAAAAAAAGAGTTAACTGCCATGCCAAAAAAAAATGTTAACAGACACATGACTAAAAATTAACGGGTAACAATAAGGATAAAAATAAATTAAAATTTTGATGATTATATTATAAATTTTAAAAATTTTAAAAATTAGGTGACCAAAATACAAAATTATAAAAATTCAAAGATTATTTGTATATTTTATCCTAAAAATAAATATTATATATATATATATATCCACTCGAGATTTAAAAAAAGAAAAAAGAAAAAGCAAAAGCAAACCGAATACACTGTAATATGCTCATACATGTACAAAGACCTTTCAGTCCTCCTCAAGTCATTTCTCAGTCAAATGCAAACGCTGACATCTATATTCTTGCCATATGTAATCACATTATTGGTCATATATTTTTCAAACGAATCAACTCGACTGCAGACAATCATCCGTAAGAACCGTTAAAATATATATATATATATAAAAGAAAAAAACACCGGATCCTCTTTAATTCCATCCAGCTAAATATCAGCTCAGCTAAATCTGGGAGGACAGAGCTTTTCCTTAGCTCTCACTCTCACTTCAACGCTCAGCCAAGAAAATTTAAAAGGAAAATTAATTCTAGGGTTTTATATTTGGGTCGTGTCGAATTTGGGATTTTAAGTACACGAAATGAAGCAAAAGAACGGCCAAATTCATACTACGAAATTATTGACATATATTTTAATCGGTTTAATTGCTGCTCTCGGATTGGTTTGTCTGTACTGTGGATCTTCATTTGCTCCTGGGTCGAGGAAATCCGATGAAAATGGTTCTCTGTTGGATGGATCCGACCCGGTTTTCGGTCGGTTTTCAAGGCACAGAGATTTGGTTGATTTGCTTGACGAGCAAAGGTACTATCCGGAAGCTCCTAAAAGCATCCCTGTAAGTTCTGCATTTTATTAGCCGAAATTTCTTTTCCTTTTAGTTATCGATTTTAGTATTTTTTTTCTTTTATTGTTCATTTGTTTTTTTTTTCTTTGTATCACAAATTACACTGTGTTTCTTTTGGATTTTAAATGAGGGTGTTTTATGAGTTACAGATATGTGACATAAAATATTCTGAGTTGATACCCTGCTTAGATAGAAACCTTATTTACCAGCTGAAATTAAAGCCTAATTTGTCAGTAATGGAACACTATGAGCGGCATTGTCCGCCGCCGGAGCGGCGTTACAATTGCCTAATTCCGCCACCGAAAGGTTACAAGGTTAGTGATGATTCATTCTGCTAAGTCTGAGAGTGTGGCTTGATGTAATTTAGTTAGTTTCAATACCAACGTAATTGATGCTAGAATTTCAGATCCCTATAAGATGGCCTGCTAGTAGAGATGAAGTGTGGAAAGCTAATATTCCCCACACACATCTTGCGGAAGAGAAATCGGATCAACATTGGATGATTGTTGATGGGAAGAAAATAAAGTTTCCTGGTGGCGGAACCCATTTCCATGATGGTGCTGATAAGTATATCGTTGGTCTTGCTCAGGTATATGTTACTGGTTTACTGGGTTAAGGATTCTTATATTGACTGAACTTAATAATTTCAACTTTCTAAACACTTGTGTACTTGTTTGTAGCTTGCTGTTGAATCATTTTATTTGTGTAGATGCTGAAATTTCCTGGTGATAAACTTCACAATGGCGGACACATACGAAATGTTCTTGATGTGGGATGTGGAGTTGCAAGTTTTGGAGCCTATCTCCTACCACTTGATATTATAGCCATGTCCCTTGCACCTAATGATGTACATGAGAATCAAATACAATTTGCATTAGAAAGGGGTATCCCTTCAGCACTTGGTGTGTTGGGAACAAAAAGGCTTCCATACCCAAGCAGATCATTTGAGCTAGCTCATTGTTCTCGATGCCGAATAGACTGGCTTCAGAGAGATGGTATTCTCCTATTGGAACTTGATAGATTACTGAGACCTGGAGGGTACTTTGCATATTCTTCGCCTGAAGCCTATGAACAAGATCCGGAAAATCGAAAGATCTGGAATGCAATGTACAGCCTTTTGAAAAGAATGTGCTGGAAAGTTGCTGCAAAGCGAGGCCAAACTGTTATATGGTCTAAGCCTCTGAGCAATAGTTGCTATTTGAAAAGAGATCCTGGGACTCGGCCTCCTTTGTGCAGTTCTGGCGACGACCCAGATGTCAGTTGGAATGTGTCTATGAATGCATGCATCACTCCTTACTCTGCAAGTAAGTTGAACTGCCGTGCATACAATGACATTGATAATTGCGGAATGCTTTCTTATTCTAAATTCTGTTTACTGGTCGATGGACATTTCATATGGTTTATCTTCATAAATGATCACATCTTATGTTAATAACAATATGAGAGTAAGTTGCTGCCCCAAAAATTGGAAACATTATCGGAACTCTTAAGGGTGAACTCAACCCTTGTTTGATGCTGCAGAGATGCACAAAGAAAGATGGAGTGGACTACGTCCTTGGCCACAAAGGCTTACTGCAGCACCACCTCGCCTTCAAGAAATCGGTGTTAGTGCTGAGGAATTCCTTGAAGATACTGTAAGTTTCTAAGATCATAGGGGAATATCATGTGCTGTAGTTTTCTCTTCTTTCTTCATCTAGATTTTTTTTTTTTGCTTTCCACTACATAGTGTGGAATTTTGATGACTGAGATACGCTTATTGTACAGAGAATATGGCATTCTAGAGTGATTGGATACTGGAAGCAGATGAAGTCTGTTACAGAGAAGAATTCCTTCAGAAATATCATGGATATGAATTCAAACCTTGGGGGTTTTGCTGCTGCCCTTAAAGATAAAGATGTCTGGGTAATGAATGTTGCTCCTGTTAAAATGTCCGGAAGATTGAAAATTATTTATGACCGAGGCCTGATTGGTGCTGTTCATGATTGGTATGCTTAAACTTTTATATATTGATACATCCTTAATTCCATCTTCTTCATCTTTTTGTCATGTATCATTGTTCTGATAATCAGGTATGTCTAGTCATCTTCCCTGGCCTGACTATGCACCATACTTTCATCTTTGCCTTTGTAGGTGCGAAGCTTTTTCTACGTACCCAAGAGCATATGATCTTCTTCATGCATGGGCAGTCTTTTCTGAGATTGAGGAGCATGGTTGTAGTGCAGAGGATCTCTTGATTGAAATGGATAGGATACTGAGGCCAGGTGGGTTTGTCATTATGAGGGATAAAAGCTCAGTTATAAGTCATATCAAGAAATTTATCCCTGCATTGCGGTGGGATGCTTGGTTATCCGAAGTTCAACCAGGAACCGATGCTCTATCTGTTGACGAGGAAACAGTGTTAATTGCACGAAAGAAGCTGTGGAGTGATGATGGGTTTACGACGATGTGAATTTACATCTTTTCCCTCCCATGTATTTTCTTAGCCCGATATCTTCCCTTGATTTATGGTGGTCGGTGTACTTTAATCCCTGCATTTGCCGATTGCTATATTGCTCTGAGTCTTAGAAAAAGTTGAACAAATCGATTCAAGACATATACTCGTATTTGACACTTATTTAATCCTACTAATGGCAACCCAAACCTACTGATGAGGAAGCATTAAAGAACTTTAAGCAACAAAAATGGATATAAGTTGTCAATCTTTCATTACTAATCCCATACATTAAAATCAAGATCCATTGACATGTTTAAAAAGCCAACTCATTATACATATTTCTATACACACATCTCATTGTCTATGCCCTTCCGGCAATGGAACCACTTTGTGAAACGGCACCGTCCTCTGTGGCAAAGCTCCGTCTTCTTCATCGTCATCAAATTCCAGTAAATACCTACACGAAAACGGAAAAAATGGTCATGCATTTCAGCAACACATAACAAATAATAGATTATTATTATTGATAATAATTATATCGTTTATGGGGAAGAACACAAATGGGCAAAACAATACGGGTTTTTACTCATCGGAATGGAGGATGTCACTTACTCGTCGGATTTCCTCTGTAAAGATATGGTATGTTGAATAACCCCCCAATGAGTATGCACACGAAGATTCATAGTCAGTTTATTGTTTTAGCAAATGTATAAAAGAACATAAAACAATACAAAATAATCCGAAATTATATATATTGAGTATTGAATGACGACGGTGATGGTTGGAATAGTCACCTTTCGAGGTGTACTGATGACAGTTGCTTTATAGAGTGCAGTTGTTCCCGGATAAACGGCCAAAACATGTCTCCCCGCAGGGAATTCTTGAGTACTAGAGGGATCGTTCTGCTTGGGGAACGGTATGATGCAAGATGCAGGCAGCTTGTACTTCCTGAAATCGCAATAACAGAAACCGAGATCTTCTGGATCAACTAATTCCAGCCATATAAAATATTGAAAAACAGAAATAAGATGTTTGAACCCTTGATGTAATCGCAAATTTCTGTCTCGATCATCATAACAAATAAAACACGGTAGTTCCATGGACCAAAAAGTAATGAATATGAAAAAGAATGATATAGAATGAAGCATAAAAGCTTACCTTTGGAGACCACCATCTTCGTCATCACCTGGCTCCTCATCGAGTACTTCAAATCTGCATATGGAGATTCAATTTACAAACAAGAATAAAAAAGATTCTAAATGGAATTCTCACACGAGCCAAAATGAAATGTCCGATATGAATCGTACTTACTCTTTCGTTTTCTCATCAAAATTTATTACTTTCACAACAAACCACTCGTCCTTTTCAGCATCTGAGGTGACCCTTGCAGCTACCTGAGTACAAGAAGGAAGGTAAAGTAAATGAGGTCCAAGATCAAAAAACAATGATCGAATAAATTGTGACAGCTGCATGGAGCACTATGGTCTACAAGCTTGCCTGTTCATCTTTGAGACTAACACAAGCCTCAATATGACTCCGCATAGAAGGAGAAATGCGAGAGATATCTGAATCAGATTTCATTCTTTTCCTTTTCTGATCAGTACCATCTGCAATTTGTTTAATATTAGCTACATAAATAGGATGTTCAGATTCGCTAGCTATAGTATCTCAAATCTAAACGTGAAAATCACTTTTGTTTTGCCACAATATATTCAACCTTCTAGATCCGAAAGAATGGAAAGATCACAAACACTTCATAATTTCAACTAATTGCCGAGTCTAGGAAAGAGAGAGAAACAGAATAAGATGGAGAAAATCAAACTGCAGAAAATTACAGCCATATCTTAACATCCTCTTAACTACTACATAAATAAAGCATTATAAGAACGCAAATATTAAGATCCCTGAATATCGTCATGCAAAGAGAAAACTTGATACAGAGGTTAAAAAGCAACAGAAATGTCTCATACAGACATGCTGTGTAGCACACACCCATTTTTCTTCGTTGATGTCCCGGAGGTCCAGATGGCAGAAAAGTGTCAAGTTGACCTAGTAACGAGCTGGAAATCCTGTATCAATGCAAAAACAGTGAATATTCATAAATGACGGAATATGATAATGAGAATCATGTAAGTCCTACAGAACCAAACCAGAAAGTTAATTGCTAAGTATAAAGAAAATGGTATAAGACTTGAATGAAGATAATGGACGTACGCTACTTCTCTCTCCGAAAGATCTCTCGCTTGAACATATAAGCTTTTTAGCCTTGATAATGAAGAATCACCAGGTTTCTCAACTACCTCGGGAGCTGCATAGTTATAAAAAAGTTCAAAGTTAGCAAAAACCATCAGCTAATAAAGAACACAACACAAAAAAGTAAAGTACAACAAAGAATGAAAAGCTACTCTTAAGTCGATAAAACAATGCTTAATCATTTACATCCAGGGGTTTCGGCAAGTTTTCTAACTGTTAAAGGTGTAATAATTCACTTCTTTGATAGACTCCCCGAGATTCAAAATAATGCATCCTGTATGGATTCCAAATATAGCTTTTAACCGACAATGACTATGGATCTCAAAACTCCTTCTATGATACTTCTTCTATGATCCAAGAAACCACAGATCAACCTAAGCCCCAATGAATCGACAACAAATTTTTTCATTTCCGCATTGTTGCAATTAAATACCATTAGCTGTTAAATTTGTAGAATATTCTGAATCCGGTCCTCTTTCATGCTAACATTCTCAACTAAAATAATCAAAACATTTTCGCAAAATAGATATCAGGAGCAGGTTTATTGTATGATAATAATGAAATCTTAATTAAAGCAACTAAATGGATATTTCGATGCTCGCCGGCTACAAGGTAATTACACATGAAGCATTGGACACTGTTCTACACGTATACAAAACCAACCACTCTCAATATGGATTTACAAGTATGTAATGAGTTAAACAACACAATTGCCTTCTCCATGAAAACTAAGCCCCTTGAACAGCCATTTCAGGTAAATAGCTTATTTTTCCGATCAAAGAAGGCAAAAAATTTACGCACCGAAATTAACATAAACACTTGCTAGCAAGAAACTTTAAACCACAACTTAGATTCAAATTAAGTTCAAACTACAAAGAGAAACTATTCCTTTTATATTTGATCACATTACTCCAGTCTTTTTTTTCTTCAAGAACCAACAAAAAGAAAATCATAAATGAAAACAATCGGCAATAATAATGTATAATGGAAATAACTCCCTTATCCGATAAAATCCATCATCAACGAAATTTAACCTCTTTTTAAAACTAAACCTACCTAAAAAACATGTTTTAATAAAAGAAACTAAAAACCCAGAGAGCCAAACCACTTAAAAGCATTAAAAAACACACAACATATTTTGATAATATGGAACAAACCAAGATCATAAAATTTGAAGCTAAAGGGATAAAATAAAGCTGAGAAAAATTACTAGCTTGGAGCTTCTTGTGAAGCTTGTTGATTTGAACAAGCACCTCTTCTTGGTCTTTCCTTAACCGATCGAGTTCCCTTGAGTTTTCCAAGATTGAAGCAATGTCCGGCGACGACATCGTTCAATATTATTTCCTATTTTCGCCGGAAATACAACGCTGTCTCTTTCGCCAGATTACTTCATCACAATCCTTAATTTTACCTTTTCTTTTCCTCTTTCAAATAAAAATCTATAATAATGTTAAAAGAAAGGCCAAAAAGGAAATAAAAATCAGTGGATAATTTTGATTATTTTTTTGTTCTGCTTTCATCCATATTTTGTTGATATTGTGTTAATCTGACACGTGGAAAAATTGTAATTAAATTATATTTAATTTCATAATTAGTTGATAGAGTGTTACAAAACGAAATGATCTTTTGTTTACGATAATATGTAAATATTAAGAATTAAATTATAATTAATTAGGAATTTATTTTAATAATTTTAATGGTTAAATATAATATTTCTTTAAAGATTTTAAGCTTGACATCTATGTGTATATAAGAAGTGTGTATGATATTAATAATTAAAAATTATGAATATATATTATATTGTAATCCTCTCAAAGTATTCAAAATAAATATTATGAATTAAATACATTAATTGTTTAACATTAATTATTTAAATTTGATTAATATTATTTAAATAATTAAATAATATAATTAAAATATTTCTGTTGAATGAGCAGGGCCAAGTTTTGGATACTCATGAGCAAATTTCAAAGGAAGATGTCTCGTTTTTTGAAAAGATGTTAGGGTCAAGGAATAACTCTGTTTTGGGTTTAATGTTAGCTTTCTCAAGGAGCTGTTGGGAGTTGCTTTTTCTGATGTGGTAAAGGGTCATTTGCAGAGAAGAGACTCTAAGGAGGAGGTCAAGACTGTCATGTTTGCTCAGGACTCAGATAAAGTTCCTGGACCGAATGGTTATTCCTCTCACTTCTTCATGGTGGCTTAGGATATTGTTGAGGAAGATTTCATTCTAGCTGTGTTGTATTTTTTTTTGAGTCCTCGAAGATGTTGTCTGCCTTCAACGCGACTACTTTAGTGCTTGTGCCAAAGAAGATTAATGCTCGACACATGTTGGATTTCAGGCCTATCTCAAGTTTCAACGTTGTTTATAAATGCATTACCCATATTATGGTTTTCAGGCTTGAGGGGTTTCTTCCAGAGGTTATCTCTGGGAGTCAGAGTGCCTTTGTTCCTTACCGGAGTATCATGGACAACACTTTTATGGCTTAAGAACTAGTGAAGTGTTATGATCGTGTTTCTGTTTCGCCTAGGTGTGCTTCGAAGTTGGGTCTGTAGAAAAAGTTTGATTTTGTTGATTGGGGTTTTTACTCGCTGTTCTGGAGGCCCTTGAGATGCTTGATATTACGATTTCTTGGATTCGGGAGTGTGTTACCACTCCTTTCTCTATTTCCCTCAATGGTGGTCTGGTTAATTTCTTTAAAGGGACGAAGGGGGTGAGGCAAGGGGACCCCTTGTTCCCTTATCTTGTTGTTATCACTATGAATGTCTTATCGAATTTGTTGGATAAAGCTGCGGTGCATGGTGTTATTCAGTATCACCCGAAGTGTCATAGGGTCCAGCTTACTAATCTCTGCTTCGCGGATGACCTGTTAGTTTTCTCCAAGGGCACTGTCTATTCTATTTTGGGCGTTTGGGATGTCCTTAAAGCTTTCTACTAGTTTTCGGGGCTACAGTTGAATGCAGTCAAATCTGAGCTTTTTTCCTCTGGTATTAAGGATTATGCTTTGCAAGCGATTCATGAGATTACGAGTATTAGAGGTGGCAAGCTTCCGGTCAGATATCCGGGTCTCCCTCTTATTGCGAAGAGGCTGTTTGTTAAGGATTGTCTTCCCCTGGTTCAGAATTCCTCGATTGAAAGGGTGACAGGTTAATCTTCTTCCGTATGCTGGTAGGCTTCAGCTTATCCGTGCCGTCATTTACAGCATTAAGAATTTCTAGAGTGTCCAAGTGAAGCTTCCAGACATGATCATTAAGCGTATTAACCAAATTTGCTCTAAGTTCTTCTGGAAGGGTGAGGACAAGCCTGCCAAAGGAGCTAGAGTTGGTCGGTCGCAGGTTTACTCTCCTAAGTCTGAGGGAGAGCTTGGTCTTAAGAATTTGAAGTTTTGGAATCAATCCTGCATGATTGGGTTGATTCCAAAGGTGCTGCTTAAAGATGGTTTAGTTTGTGTTGTCTGGATTCATGCTTATATTATAAAAAATATATAATTCTTTTTGGCAGCTATCGTGTCCCCAAAACTGCATCGGACTGGGAGAAATTTGTTACGGCTTCGTCATAGGGCTATGTTGGTTACGGGGCTGCTGGGGGGATCTTGCTCTTCTATTCGAGGAATTTGAAATGAGTTGAGGGTACGTCGTGATAAGGTGACTTGGGATAGACTTGTGTGACATTCGGGGCACATTCCCAAGGTTTCTGTTATTTCTTGGATGATTGTTCTTGACAGACTACCTACTAAGGGAAGACATCTCCTTTTTGGCATGCTTAAAAACACAGCAACAATCAAGGATCTCCCTTTGAACCCTCTGATAATATTTACCAAATTTCAATCGATCAAATCAAGTGTCTAAGAAAAAGAACAAAGAAGAAACATTAACTTCGACGTGATTTTCATCTTTAAACAGTTGGCTATAAAATCCTGGGATGAATTTTGAGGCGGGTGGTTGATTTTGGTTCCCAAAGATTCAAACTTTTCATTTGATCCCAGTCTTTCAGGGAAACCCAGATTGAGAAAAGTATGTTGTTGTTTTGCTCATTGGATCATGTTATTTCTCGATGAATGGAATGACTGGACCCTGTTTTGTTTCCAAGGTTTCATCGCATGAATAACTGTGATTAACAATTGCAGTGGTAATGTAAGGAAAGCTATTGGGGCAATGAGGCTGATTTTAACAACATTTGCTGGAGCTATGTAAGGGCTACTGTGTTCTCTCGAAGTGCATGGCGATGTGTTTGGCGTATGATTCAGGTAAAAACAAAACGAGCTTTAATTTCAACTCAGTTTTCATATTTCTTTCTTTTTTTTTTCTGGTTTATGACAGACAACTCTTCTTTAAAATGCCAGAATGACTTGATTCATGGACGGGGTCTGGATTTTAATATGAGAAGATGTCGAGGTTAGCTGCTTTCTAACAATTATTCAACTTATTAAGGATTAGGCCGTGACCATATAAAATGATTACGGGTCATAACGAAGGGTTGTGTTGATGTTATATTACACCAGTGGCAAAGGTATGCCCTAAAATTCCTTTCTTCCCCAACCCCCATCCCGACCGAGTTTAAACTTCCGGTCGCTATGTCCGACATTCTTCATCTTCGAACTACACAGATGATTTTATTAACATATTCATGGACCTACCAAGGCCTAGTTGTAAAACTATTATCGGTAAGATAAATGTGAGTACCCCATATTTTCACGGAAATAATAATAAAAACGAGGGTTAACTACACAGATGATCACTCATATTTGTGTTTTGTCCACTTTTGATCACTGATTTCAAAAAACATAAGATATGGTCCCTTTCGTTTTTATTTAACTAAAATGTGGTCACCTTGAGTTAACTGTTATTAACTATTTTGATATAATCACATATTTGGTCCTTGTTATTTACATATTTTCTTAATATAATCCTACTTTTAAATATATTATGTTAGTTTGTTAACTATAAGATTTATTCGACTAATGTCTATGGTAAAGTAACTCTAATTATATTGTTTATCAACTATCATTTTATCACATTCTCTTATATCTTTGGTCACTCTAGACACTTATAAATTTATTTTTATCATTTATAAATTTAATTTTGTCAAAAAATATATAAAATTCACAAAACTTTAACACTTATCTCTTTCTTTCTTAGAGGAGTAAAAACTTTGTCTAATTTAATGATTTTGGATGTGGTCAACCAAAATTTTAAGTAGTGAGAAACTTGCTTTCAATAAGAAAAATAATATATTATGAAACTAATTTCATCAGACCATTATCGACAGAGATTTGAGCATTATAAGATTAAAATTTTGACTTGATTTTCATTGATTTTAAATGAATTTTGAAAAAAATAAAATTATTGAAAAGAAAATGTGGGATAAAAGGTAAACATTGTTATATCATTTATGTCACATACGTTGGTAGATGATAATTAAAAGGATTTAAGATATTTTTACAAAAGAAAAAATCACATCATAAACTGCGATAAAATATTAACGGTTTGATGACTTAAAATGAATTAGAAAACTTTAGTACTACAATTTTAACTTTTAGCTCAATGAACAAAATAAAAATATGGTCAAAGTTTAATATTTAAGAATGTATTTTACCTTTTAAAAAACAACAATCACAAAATTAAGCATAATAAATGGACTAAAATAAGAGTTCAACCTTTAAGTTTTATATCAAATTAGGACTAAATTGAGAGAATATATAAATAACAGGGATCAAATTTGTGATTATATCAAAATATTGAACTGCTAAAGGCAGTTAACTCGGGGTGATCACATCTTAATTAAATAAAAATGAAAGTAATCATATCTTAATTAAATAAAAATGAAAGTGATCATATCATATATTTTTTGAAATCAGTGACCAAAAGTGAACAAAATACAAATATAAGTGATTATTTACATAATTAACCCTAAAATCAATATGAGAATTTGTTATCACAAAACTGAAATTTATTTATTTTAGGATAACTTACACCAATCATCACTGAATTTTACTTTATTTCCTATTTCACTTCTGTACTTTAAAACCGTTCAATTTCATCACTGAATTTAAGTAATTAGCTGATTTGGTCATTCAGCCGTTTCTCCCTTTAACAGAGTGCTCACGTGGCTTTTTTAAATTATAAAACTTGCCACGTAAGACCAGTGTTGACCAGATTTTATCTCTCCCCATCGTTTCCTTCTTATTCTTTGTTCTCTTCTGTTTTCTGTTTCCTATTGGATTGTAAAAAGTTGATGTTTTTATCAACTGATGAAGCTCTTGTAATGGAGGATGAAGATGATGAAACCCAGTATGCTTAAAATGTAAACACTGAGAGAAATGCGAACTCGAAGCAAAATCTCGTTGTCAATCCCCTGCGTCTCTCTCCAACGTTGATGATGTTACTCTCGCCAAATTGGACCCATCCGCTTCCATCACCGAGTCCACAACCGCAACCCAAATAAATTTACCCAATTCTGTAGAAATAACACTGCTTTTCCTCTCCCAAAGTTTTACCTACACATTCAGAAACACTTAAAAAAGAAGAAGGAAACTAAAGTGGAACGGTTGGATGATGGAATATATATACCATATCGAGCTCCCATGGGTCATAGGGATAGAGGTCGAGATCGGGGATGACATCGGGGTGGCACGGCAACAAGGCGGCCTTGCGTTAAAGGAAATTAACGACGAGCTCTTCGTAGGTCGGATTGAATCTGAACTCTGGTGGAAGATTAATATTGCGGTTCTCTCTCATGTCTTTTTCTTGGGATAAAAATGATACGAACAAGAATAGTGAAGGAGAGGGATTCGGAGTAGGTGATATTTATAGTGTGGGAGGTGGATAAAAACATGCAGAAGGCGGGGGTTTCAAGCGATAGGAAGAGAAAGGAGAGGATAGGGAAGGAGGCGGCGGAGAAGAAGAATTGAGTTGTGATGGTGGGTTTGGAGGATAAAGGCATTTACCCATTCTTTTAACTTTTTTTCCCACGTCATAACTCCCGTTAGTGGGGGGAACGGCTGAATGACAAAATCAATCAATTAAATTCAGTGATGAAATTGAACGATTTTAAAGTACAGTGAGTGAAATAGGAAATAGAGTAAAGTTCAGTGATGATCGGTATAATTTACCTTTATTTTTAAGATAAACTACGCACTTAGTACTTAAATTATCAGTTTTGGCCTATTTTAGTACTTAAACTTTCAATTTTTTCAAAAACCATATCTAACGATAGTTTTCAATTCATTTTATTATCCGTCGTTAAAACTTAACGCGTTTAGTACCTAAACTATCATTTTTTGTTCATTTTAGTACTAAACTTTCAATTTTTTTTAAAAAAACTTAACATTAAATTTTGAACGGGGTACTAAAATGAAACAAAAAACTAAAGTTTCTAAAGGTATGGTACTAAAATGAAATAAAAACTAAAGTTTAGGTATAGTTTTAAAAATATAAAGTTTAAATACTAAAACATATCAAAACTGATAATTTAAGTACTTAACATGTAATTTACCCTTATTTTTGTCAAGTTTGAACTTCAACATCTAAGGTTTCACTAATTTGATATGTTTTCTAATTTTGTTATGAATTATTTTATTTGGTTATATTTGTATATGAAATATAAATTATATCACATAAGATTAAATTTAAAATAATATGTGATATATTAATATAAATATTAAAAATGTATTAAGTTTCTTTTAATTCAAAATTTTTAATAAAATAAGAAAATGAAAAATATTAAATATTTTTTTTTATAAATCGAAGATAATATTTGTTTAATAACTCTTAATCATTTGACTGTGAACATTCATACTCATGGCATATGCGATAAGACCTCGAGAGATAATAACAAGTCTCTTAATCGCCGAAATCAATGATTGATCTACATGTATATAAGATTGAACACGTACCCATTCTGAAATTAAAGGTTTCTTAGATTAATTACTTATTTTATTGACGGTGTCCACCCTGAAATTTTATTTGTGCCCACATCATTTGAAAATTTTATGTTATTAGTAAAATATATTTTTGGATCTGCTATTGATTAAAGTTGCTTGGTTTGTATAGTTAACAGAATTCATCTCATTAATTTTGACATCTTTTTGCTAACATTGTTTTGCTTCTAATATCTAAGAGATTGAGACTAATTTACCTTATTGAACTTTCCCTAAATTTTAATATGGTGATAATACCATTTGAAAGTCAAATTTGTGCACTCGAAGGGATCAGTAACACTTGTTAAAGCAGAAGAAGAAACCTCTCGGCCTATCGTCTTCCTCGCCGGCTTTCGGGGTTTCCGCTATATCATCTCTAGCGGCCATCAACGAGCTTGTTCCCGGAGACTCTGGTGGAAACACAACATTCTCGGATGTTGTTCTTTTGGGAGGCATCATCAACGGCTCGGGTGGTGTAATGGTCGAGAGATGGTGTAATAGCATCTGTATGATTTGGGAGAAATTGGGCCGAGCATTCGGATCCTCTTGCCAACATGAAGTCACGATCGATGCCAAATCTTCCGGAATGTCCTCAGCACTAGGTCGAACATTCTGAAACAACATAGTTAAAACTCAGACCAATATGCCTATATCAGAATACCCTAGTTGCATTTGAAGAAACACATGATTCGGTGACATTTCGAGAAACATGAAACTGGATTTACGACAGCAAGTATGAGCAAAGAGTCTTAATTCTGATTTGATTCCGATTCAACGTCATTAGACTTGCTAAAGTCCGCCTGATAGCCTCATGAACCGAATGTATAATAATTTCTCATCCATTAAAAGGGCATCTGACAAGTTTGTACTCGAGACTATCACTACAGGACATGGCTACACACCATTCATTACCTTAAAAGCGGCTGCATAGGCTGCTTGTAAATTCGACATGCCCTCGAACGGCAACTTGTTATGGATGAGTTCCCACAGAACGATAGCAAAGCTGTACGCATCCACCTTATGATTGTAATGTTTTTTCTCTCCCTGCCTTAACGTGACCGTGCTATATAGCTGTTAGCATATTTAAAGGGGTCAGAATCTCAAACGTAAAAGAAAACCCGACATTTAAACGGAGGAAAATTTATCGCTGTTAAGTTCTGAATAATCAGTATATTACTTCTGGAGCCATCCAACGGTAAGTCCCAGTTTCAGCTGTCATCATTTCAGTTAATGACTCTTCACGAGCCAAACCAAAATCCGCGAGTTTAACCGTTTTATGGTCTTCTGTCAAGATCAGGTTCTCTGCAGTAGGAAAGAATATATCAAGATCATGCAAACCTATAAAAGGTGATAATGCAATATCGTATGAGGTTGGCTTAAAGATTGATATTGCTTTCATTTATGTCTGCTTAAATTAGTCTCGGAAATCGGAATCATAAATAACATATGCAATCCCTCTAACACTGACAATAAAGTATGACGTAGAGGTTTACGTTCCGTTTAAAAAGAGGAAACATTCGTTCCGTAAGAATAAGAAATCATTATAAAATTAGTTCTTATCAGTTAGTCACAGTTAATACAAGAGCAGCAACGTAGTATGGATCTAGTGAATGCAACTCGATGAATATAAAAGTGTGCCTGGAAAAAAGTTATAATCATACCAGGTTTCAGGTCCCGATGAATGATCCCGTGCGAGTGTAAGCATTCCATTGCACGAGCAATATCGAGTGCAAATCCTATAGCTACACGCATGTCCAAGCACTTTGGTCGCATATTCAAAAGGTATTTCCTCAATGTCCCACCTAGTAGGAGCTCAGTTACGATCACCATAAAGGGCTCCTTGCAAGCTCCAATAAACTGGAAAACAAACAAAAGCTCAGCTAAAATACGAACCTATTTCAACTTAATATAACCTAAAATTTCTGGATTTTCGAATTTTCATCGAGAATATATCCACCCTAATCCGAAAGAACATAAAATTCAGCAACAAGAATCAATGGGATATATAATGGTTCAACAAACCTTCACAGGCTCTGCTAAGACACAACTTCCGCAGAATATAACCTAAAACTTCCGGATTTCATGGATATTCATCGACAATATATTGACTATAAACCCGAAAGAACATAAAAATCACAAAAAGAATCAATAGTATATGTAATGAATCAACAAAACTTAACAAGCCAATTTCCACTATAACCCAAAAAGTACATAACAGTTAGCAGCAACAATCAACAGCATTGCTAATGATTCTTCACAGGCTCTGATATGATGCGAGCCATAGCGCATATATTAACCCAAAACTTCATCGATTGACCGATATTCATCAACAATATCGACTCTAACCCGGAACAACAAAATTCAGCAACAAGAACCAATGGCAAAATCAACAAACCTTGACAAGATTTTTGTGTTGAACCCTGGATAACATTTCAACTTCCCTTGCAAACCTTCCATCTCTCCTTGCAATTTCTTCGGGGGTTTCCCCTCTTCTAACAACCTTAATAGCAACGTTTTGATTCTTGTATCTAAAAAAACACAAGTTAACTGTCATGTAATAACAGGCATTAATGATCAAATTTATCCAATTTTTTTTTATAAATTATTATCATATCTACTCAAATTATCAATAAGATTTACACCAAAATGGTTCTAAATGGCTAGGATTCATTTAAAAGACCCAAAAAAAAGAAGGAATTACTAAATTGACTTAATTAGAATTTCAAAGAGAAAATTAACTTACTTTCCTTCATATACTTTAGCATGAGCTCCTTCACCAATTTTAGGACCAACAAAAAGCTGCCGAGGATCAATCAACCATTTAGCATCTAAATTGAAATCATGAGTTGAAAAAAACCCATTTCCAGATCCCATCTTTTGAAACCACCCTTTGCTTTAACACAATAATTGAAGAACTTCCATTTATTGGTCAATCAAAAAGAAACTCTTTTGAAAAAAAGAATCCCACATTTTAAACTTAAAAAACATAACTTTTCATAGCTTAAAATAAAAATAATGTAACAAAAGGCATGCCTTTTACTGCTACTCAAAGGCTCACACCCTGGATTTTACTTATTTTCACAGTTTTACAACAATAAACCCATCCCAAAAATCATGGATTTCAGATCCAAAAGAACCCATCAGCAACTGTCCTTTAATGGTGGACAATGATAAAAAAAAGTCCCAACAAAGCAAAATTTTATTCATAAATAAAGAGGGACAACAGAAAATCAGAAAGACCCTTCAGCTAAGAATGAAGCACTTAGACAAGTAAAAGGAAATTAAAACAAAAGATGCAATTTTCTTCTTTTTCTTCTTTCTTAGTGAAGGAGTGAACCGTGAAAAAAGGGGAAGGATTGAACTTTATAAAGAAGGTTGAAAG